TTCTGTTTGGTGTATGCATACACCCCAGCTACACAGCCGATGCTGCTGCTGCATGTATTCTCTGTTTATCTTTATTTAATATATATAATATTAAAAATTATTCTTAAAATATATTAAAATATATTAAATAAATAAATTATTTTTATTTTTTTGTTTAAATTTCCAGCAAAAACACAAACACACACAAACAGAGCTGCCTATACACCCCGTGGGGCCCCCCGTTGGGGGCCCCCCCATCCCCGGGGGGCCCCCACGGGGTGTATAGGCAGCTCATTTTTCTCTGCCTTCTTCGGAATATATTAAAAAATTAATTTTTTTACAACATTTTTCTTTCTTTTTCTCTATTGTATTTCAACTTATCAAGCAGCAGCGCCCTTGGGGCCCCCCGAGGCCCCTGGGGGCCCCCAGCAGCACAGCCTGCAGCAGCAGAGAGCTGCTGCTTCTCGCTGAGTTTTACTTATACCTTTTTGCATGCATTTCAGGCGGAGCGAGACGTTGCTGAGGGCCCTGGGGGCCCCCAGGGGGCCCCCCGGGGGCCCCCTGGGGGGGCCCCCCCTCGGAGCAGCAGCAGCAGCAGCAGCAACTGCAGCAGCTGCACCGCAGCAGCTTCAGGGCCTCCATTCTGCTCCTTCTGTTGAATTTGTGAGAGGCTGCTGCAGCGCTGCTGCAGCAGATCGGCCTGCTGCTGCTGCTGCTGCTGCTGCATGCAGAGGATGTTTGCTGCCCTTTATCTGCAGCAGCAACAGCAGCAGCAGCTGCAGCACGTGCTGCAGCAGCAGCAGCAGCAGCAGCAGCATGTGGCGCGCCTTTCCGGGTCTGTTTGCCTGCGTACAGCAGCAGCGGGGGTTTGCTGCAGCAGCAGCAGCAAGAACAGCAGCAGCAGCAGAGAAGAGAAGGAAGGAACTAATAAAAAGACGAAGAAACTGGAAACCCCCAAATGTCCCTCAGTATGCTTTCTTTAACCCCTCACTAGGGTTTAGGGTTTAGGGTTTATTAGGGTTTATTAGGGTTTATTAGGGTTTAGGGTTTTGGGTTTAGAGTTTAGAGTGTAGGGTTTAAGGTCTAGGATTTC